TCTTCTTTAAGAGGCTCCTCTGTCCTCCACTCATTACCTGTATTAATGGCACCTGTTTGAACTTGTTATCAGTATAAAAGACACCTGTCCACAACCTCAAACAGTCACACTCCAAACTCCACTATGGCCAAGACCAAAGAGCTGTCAAATGACACCAGAATCAAAATGGTAGACCTGCACCAGGCTGGGAAGACTGAATCTGCAATAGGTAAGCAGCTTGGTTTGAAGAAATCAACTGTGGGAGCAATTATTAGGAAATGGAAGACATACAAGACCACTGATAATCTCCCTCGATCTGGGGCTCCACGCAAGATCTCACCCCGTGGGGTCAAAATGATCACAAGAACGGTGAGCAAAAATCCCAGAACCACACGGGGGGACCTAGTGAATGACCTGCAGAGAGCTGGGACCAAAGTAACAAAGCCTACCATCAGTAACACACTACGCCGCCAGGGACTCAAATCCTGCAGTGCCAGACGTGTCTCCCTGCTTAAGCCAGTACATGTCCAGGCCTGTCTGAAGTTTGCTAGAGTGCATTTGGATGATCCAGAAGAGGATTGGGAGAATGTCATATGGTCAGATGAAACCAAAATAGAACTTTTTGGTAAAAACTCAACTCGTCGTGTTTGGAGGACAAAGAATGCTGAGTTGCATCCAAAGAACACCATACCTACTGTGAAGCATGGGGGTGGAAACATCATGCTTTGGGGCTGTTTTTCTGCAAAGGGACCAGGACGACTGATCCGTGTAAAGGAAAGAATGAATGGGGCCATGTATCGTGAGATTTTGAGTGAAAACCTCCTTCCATCAGCAAGGGCATTGAAGATGAAACGTGGCTGGGTCTTTCAGCATGACAATGATCCCAAACACACCGCCCGGGCAACGAAGGAGTGGCTTCGTAAGAAGCATTTCAAGGTCCTGGAGTGGCCTAGCCAGTCTCCAGATCTCAACCCCATAGAAAATCTTTGGAGGGAGTTGAAAGTCCGTGTTGCCCAGCGACAACCCCAAAACATCACTGCTCTAGAGGAGATCTGCATGGAGGAATGGGCCAAAATACCAGCAACAGTGTGTGAAAACCTTGTGAAGACTTACAGAAAACGTTTGACCTGTGTCATTGCCAACAAAGGGTATATAACAAAGTATTGAGAAACTTTTGTTATTGACCAAATACTTATTTTCCACCATAATTTGCAAATAAATTCATTAAAAAATCCTACAATGTGATTTTCTGGATTTTTTTTCCTCATTTTGTCTGTCATAGTTGACGTGTACCTATGATGAAAATTACAGTTCTCTCTCATCTTTTTAAGTGCGAGAACTTGCACAATTGGTGGCTGACTAAATACTTTTTTTCCCCACTGTATATACTGTATTCTATAATATTCTACTGTATCTTAGTCCATGCTGCTCTGTCATTGCTTGTCCATATATGTATATATTCTTAAATTCCATTCCTTACTTAGATTTGTGTGTATTGGGTATATGTTGTGAAATTGTTAGATATTACTTGTTAGATATTACTGCACTGTCGGAGCTAGAAGCACAAGCATATCGCTACACCCGTAAAAACATCTGCTAAACACGTGTATGTGACAAATAAAATGTGATTTGATTTGACTGATTGTTTACTCTGACAGGCTGCTTGTCCCTGTTAAAAACCTTTCCTCCAATGAGGTTGGTGCTTTTTTGCTTTTGCATCGTAAGTTGTTTGGCCACAGCAGTCCACGTACTGCTCTCTTTCTCTCTCTCTCTCTCTCTCTCTCTCTCTCTCTCTCTCTCTCTCTCTCTCTCTCTCTCTCTCCCTCTCTCGCTGTTTCTCTGCTGCAGGTCTGTGGCACTGCGATGGCTCCCACAGAAGGAGCAGTAGGGAGCAGGCAGGCAGGCAATGTGTGTATAGCTTTGAAATGACCAGGGAGTGTAGAACAGTGGATAAAACCCTGTAAGCAGGCCCTGGCACGGCTCCCCGATTGCCTGCCTTCCGTGTGGGCCGCGGCCTGGGGGGACTAATCCTTTGGCATGGGCGCGTGCGGGTCACACATGTTGAGTGTGTGTGGCTGGAGACCCAAGCTGCAGCCTGCAGGATGAAGACGACCTGGGGCCAGATTAAAAGCCCTCCCTAATGACAAAGACGCCTTCTATCCACATGACCAGCCGGCACACAGACACAGTCCCCTCAGAAAGCATCAATGATACAGCAGTACATCCCTAACTGCACAGTGAGTGTGGTTTGGAGGTTGATTTGAATAAACTGGTGACCTGTCCTGACATAATGTAAGTCCACTGGAGATTGTGAGGCTAGTTCCTTGACCTCTATATCCTCCTTGGTATTTTGCTGTTTTCGCTAAGTGGGCGGTAGGTAGGTCGTGGCGGAAGATGACTGGCTGGTTTTCTGAAACTGTTTTCTCATAGGCTGGTTTCTCACAGGCTACTTTCTAACAGGCTGGTTTCTGACAAGCTGGTTTTCTGACAGGCTGCTTTTTGACAGGCTGGTTTCTGACAGGCTGGTTTTCTGACAGGCTGCTTTTTGACAGGCTGGTTTCTGACAGGCTGGTTTTCTGACAGGCTGCTTTTTGACAGGCTGCTTACTGACTTGTCAACCTGCACCCTGCAGATTTGTGCATGGCTGCATGCGGCGTCTCCTCTCCTGCATGTTATCTTGTCAGTTAAGGTGACCTGAGGGGCCCATGGGGAGTGGAGCAATCTCTGTCCCACAGCAACTTCTCGGGGCTACGGTCTACAGCGGTCTACCCTTATGAAACAGGTATGATTTGTAGGTGTGTTACATTGGTGGCACTCAAGTATGTAATTCTTCATTAGTGGGAATATCATCAACATTTAATTGAATGAGGCAAGCTATTGAAAGTTCAACAATGGGAATTGAGTTAATTATTGCAGGAGAAGTCTATAAATATAACTGGTTAATAGGGGTGGCCTCTGCACACTGCTGCTGCAGTGGGGATCTGGAGAGACGGCCCCATAGAGCGAACAAGCAGCAGAGCTGAGGGACTATGCAGCAGAGCCGAGGGGCCATGCAGCGGAGCCGAGGGACCATGCAGCAGAGCCGAGGGGCCATGCAGCGGAGCCGAGGGACCATGCAGCGGAGCCGAGGGGCCATGCAGCGGAGCCGAGGGGCCATGCAGCGGAGCCGAGGGACCATGCAGCGGAGCCGAGGGGCCATGCAGCGGAGCCGAGGGACCATGCAGAAGAGCCGAGGGGCCAGGCAGCGGAGCTGAGGGGCCAGGCAGTAGAGTTGAGGGACCATGCAGCAGTCCCACTGACACCACTGTATACTCTGTGACACACACAGGTGCAAGGAAGTAGAGCCACAGACACACACACACATACACTCATACACACATGGACACATACACACATGGACACACAACCCTTTACATAGACTTTCTTCAAATTATTAAACGTCATACATATTGACACCATATATCCACATGGGAAGTAGTTGCACTCGGGCCACCTCTCACACAAGGTGACAGCATAAGGTGATGAAAGCTCACATGTCCACTGATGGATACCGCATAATGACACTTGACTTGTCCTTACCTCAACCATCACAAAGGCACATAGCTAACCATACTTCAAATTCGTCATACATCACTGGTACAGGACTATATACGCAACACTGTATGCAATAGGCTGCTTGACACTATTATTAAGCCTATTGAAAGGTCAGTGTTAACGTTTTCCTCCAGGCACACAATTGTGCATTCTGATTTGCGTGCATTCTTGCTCCGCGGTATAGAGCCATGGAGAAGCCCCGAAGTCTAGACCAAACCTTGGGGTTGTGAGAATATAATTCAAGGTGAGCACACAAACAGGTATATTGGTACCTCGGAGCTATGGGATCTTTCACCTCAATTTCATACTGGTATATCAAACTGTGAATATCCCAGTGGCCAGGGTCAGTCAGTTATTAAAGGGTGGATGCTCAGGAAGGATGCAGACCGATATTAGATTGCGTTTCTCCAATACTGCAGCACTCTAAAGTCGGTACCTCTTGGGTAGCATGATAGGGCTTGCCTCATCCGCACTGAGCCAAACCTATTTTGCCTCAGCGGCAACCAGCGAATAATGTGTGGTCAAAGAAAGCGACGTTGTAGTTCAGAGTGATCGATGACCGGCTGTCATGACGGTCCAGTTGTTTTCAGTTCAGTTGTAACCGAGCTCTCTACGAGAGAATTATCTATTGTTGCAAACTATCACGTGTACGCGCATGACACCCTCGGAAAAGTTGCAGTTGGCGGAATCCGGCGAAGTGTTTTATCATATGGACCAAAGACTGTACATGAAGACTGCACCTGGAACGACGGAGTTAATGATTGTTTCATCATCTGCGCACCTATTCTTCTGCACTAGGAATTTAAGGGGAGGGGGTGGTGCCAGACCGAGGTGACATGACTTTGCTACCCGAATGTAACAATTAGGCGAACCTTGATGAAATCAGATTGGTTTCAATTAATATGCGGCGGCAGAGCGCAGTCGGGTGCTTGTAGCCTAGTTCTGCGGCCACATCCAGTTTAATCATTTCACTGAAGAGGATGATTTTATATTGATATGCAGTAGTAGATTTAGTGCTACTTTGAAGGAAACCAGTGATATAATTCATTTCAAATGCAATGGAAGCTTATTTTCTGAAATTTAAAGGGCAGAATCTGGGATTTGCGAGGGAATGCTGAATTGATTGGAGACCATCGGAATTGCCCGCCCTGTGTCATTCATTGCCTCTTGTGCAGGCACGGAAATTTCACGCGCTGTTCTAGCAATCCAACAGCTGAACAGCGTTGTCTCGGCGGCACATGCAAACTGTCCGCTCCACCACTTCCCATCTCCGCTCCACCACTTCCCATCTCCGCTCCGGCCACAAGAAATGAGGACGGCGTCCCGAGCATATTCTGTGTGAAGCTGCGAAAACGGGCAATTCCTTCGGTCTCTCCCGTCTGCAGTGAGGCAAGAACGAAAAGTCGCCGTTTGGCCGAGCTGCAGCCATGGACCAGGACGAGAACAAGAGCGTCTCTAAAAAGACCATAATCGCAAAGATTTTCAAAGTTCGCAAGAGGAGAGAGATGCTTTTCGTGCAAGTGTGTTTTCTCTGCAGTGTCCTCTTCATGGCGTGGAGCATGTCAGCACTTCTGACAAAGACAGGTGAGTGTGAGCGGTGGAAACTGCTGATAAACGCGGGGCAGGGAGGACGAAACAGCTGAGAATTCTGCAGTGTAATCGTGCACTCTATAACCAGCAAGCCATTAACTACATAGTCTACAGATAATTGTCTTTCGCCACGGTCATGAAAATACATTTTCAAGGACATGCAAGCGGAGCATTCAGTCCAAATCATTTATGGTGCCCCCCCCCCCCCAGCATTTCCGGATATTTATCTGCATTAAACCGATGGAGAGATAAGATGGAACCACCGATAGCGTGCAGGGTTATTACTCTTAATTATTCAGGGAAAAAAGCGTAACGAATGTTTTATACCAGTGTCGAGAGAAACTGCATTTAGTCTCAATGTCGACGCAGTGGCTGTAGCCTGGCCTGTTTGCCTCTGCATGCTGTTATTACAGAACTCTCATGTACCTGTTAATTGTGAGGAAACCTTCTCGGCAATATGGATCACACTGATATCATATTTCTCTTCCTCGTTTTCGAGTATGAGTCGGTCTGTCCATATGCCGCAGTGTGCGCAGCGGCAACGACACGTTTCTAAGAGAAGCGGGCACGGTGGCTAACACACATTGACAAGCATGTAGCAGCCTACATCACCGCGGATGAATCATGGAACCCCACAAATATTTTAAAGTTGCTTATGTGTTTGTTGGTCGACATTTGGTTTGAGCGTTGACATCCTACGGCAAAACGTGCCTGTGCCAGGCGCATCATCAGTCACCCAGCGGTTGAGAGAAAGGGAGCGAGTGAGCGTAGGCTTGTGGTAATACTGGCATCATTGCGTCTCGCCCGGGGCTTTGCACACTGGAACACCTTAATCACTTTCCAGCATCATGCTCCCTGGTTGCGCAAGGAGTTGGAGAGATACGATTACGCAGAGGCCGTAGAAGATTAGACACTCATTTGGGACATTACCTAAACATGAGGAGGAGTGCTCTCTCTCTGGCTAATAAATTATTCACAGCTGCTCAGAGGTGTGCTCTGTGTAAACTTGTACGTTTCAGATGGCTTACCATGCATGATGTGTGTGTGAGAGAGAGACATGCCCAAGAACCAAAGGACCCCCATGCACTTGTTGTAAGACTCACCTCAGGCGTGTGTGAACATTTACATGCTCACATAATCAGATTTTCCCACACATTAGGATGATGTAATCACACATTAGGATGATGTTGGTATACCCGAGCCGTCAAGGTGAAAAATCTGTATATGTGCCCTTGAGCAAGGCACTTAACCCTAATTTGCTCCAGGGGCACCGTACTACTAAGACTGACCCTGTAAAACAACATATTTCACTGCATCTATCCAGTGTATGTGACAATAAAACATTTGTTATTTATTTTTATCACACAGACAAGTAGCCCTGTAAGTTGGCTTTTGAACAGAACATCATATGTATGACTGACAAGTCCCACTGATAAGCACTCTGTCACTCAGACTGTCTTAATCTCGTTCTGACACGAATGGAGATTTCACCAGAGATCAATTACAAATGACCAATGGCTGTCAAAACCATCCTACTTTGTTTAGACAGCCATGTTTAGGATGGACGCAATAAGCTTGGAGAGCACACACCAGGTAACGCTCCAATTTCAACATTAATATATTCACCTGACATGTTTGGATTCAGAGTAATAGTAGTGTACATAGGGGATTTGCTGCCGGAGACTAGCATAGGCCGTCCTCTCTGCCTGCGGTGATCACGCAGGTAAGGGATGAGCAAAATCTGATTTGTTCTCAAAATGCTTTTAACCCTGGCCCTCCACCTCTCCTACCCAGTAGTAGAACATGTCCATCTGATGTCAATCACTCCGACCCTTGAACTCAGAAACTAATAAATCACCACACTATGTTGTGTAGGCCTATATCAGCGTGCACGGATATATTGGAGTTTTTATTAATTACATTACAAACAACAAGAGGCTTAAAAGATTATTCTGGAATGATATCATGCAGACAAGCTCATCTCCAAAAGGCTCTCTGGGGACCAAAGTAAAGGCTTTGGTCAGTAATGGCTTGCCTTTATTTTGCGTTTAATCAAGGTTGCTGACGTGTGTGCCGTGATTGTCGGCCATAAGAGGGTATTTGATAAGAGGGCGTGCTGTGTGAACGCCAACCATGATGGGACATGTAACATGTTTGACCGTCACCTTTTGTGAGGTGAGGCAGGTGTTTGATCAGAGAGAAATATAACCCCTCACCTCCCCTGTACTCATCCCTCACTCCCCCCCCCCCCCCCCCCCCCCCCGAACTCATCTGACTGCTCTCATTCCTGAACCACCATAAGACTAGTAACCAGGCATTCATCATTGCATACTATGCCTCTGTCCCTTCTCTGACTCTGATGGGAGTACTCCAGGGTTGGTTATGTCTGTGACAAATGTAGTGCCAAGCTGAATGGGCCAGATTAATGGGAATTGAGTGATGGACTACTTAAGGGTTATGCCCCTCTGTTCTATCAAGGATGGCATCTCCATCGTCTCTCACCCTCCATTTTGAGGGTGTATGTCTCCATGATGGAAAAGGTAGAGTACGGTTGACAGTGGTTACAGAGCTAGGGCCAGGCCCCGGTCTGACAGGTGTGTGTGTTGTAGGGTGATGTTGATTGGGGGAGAGGTGGCTGGGACATCAGGGCAGGGAGGCGGAGAGGAGCTGTGTTCGTGCGGGAGCCGCTCGTGGCACAGGAAGGTGGCAGAGATTTATAGGCATCCTTGGTCCGTCTCCCTCGCCAGCTGATTGGACCGAGTTGCAGGATGATTTCGCCCTCTGTTTCTCTCCGTCTCTCCGTCTCTCTCTTGCAGCATATTGCAGTCAAAGGTAGCTAGATGCTCCTCTGTTTGGCTAATGTCTTTGCGTTCTGCCTCAAGGCAGCAAATTAGTTTGGGTTTTTAAGACTCTTTCTCTGTAACCTAGCTTGTTTTGCCTTGCAATTTCCATGGTTTCATCCTGAGGCTTTTATCTCCTATTGAATTCAGACGTTGTAACGCATCTTAATTGTCTTACCTCAAAGCTCAAGTCTGGTTGGTCTGTTCTGTTCTTTTCAATGACTTGACCAACAATCAATATCCAAAGGGAAAGGTTAGTTAGTCATTCGGTTAAGACTGTAATCATTTTCTGTTGGTGGTTGAAATCAGTGAGCCTATAATCTAACTGCGGTCCAACACTGAGAGCCTGCAAATCTGGGTTATTTGCTCATTAAAATTTCATTCAAAAGCTCCTGAAAACCTTTGAGAAATGACTGAACAAAAGCCACAAACGTCAGAAGTTGGCTGTGTGTATGGGTGATTTGCATCCAGTAATCAGGAATTAAACATTCTCATTTTGTATTCATCCCACTAAAAACCCTTGAAACATTCAAACCTGAATGGAAGGGGGAAATGTAATTAAATCCACTCCATCGTACAATACGATTTATTATCCATTGTGGTAGAAATGCATATCTATCAGTTAAGCATCGTAATGATTAACATTAAGATGGTTGACATGATTTGTGAATGAATCAGTGATTTTTGAGCAGCTTTTTCAGATACATTGGTTATGTCCGGTTCAGTGTTTACTCAGCCTCTTTGTAACGTGTGTTTTTTTGATGAGCAAGGATGCCTCTTTTTCTTTCTTACAGGGCATGGAATGATCCTGGAGAACGGACACGAGAAGCACGAACATTGGGGAAGGAGGCTCATGGGACATGAACCCGACAACGACAATGAGACTGAGTCGAAGAACTGCACAGAGCCAGGTATGCTCCATCACTGGAGAAAACTACTGTCGTCATTGTTCTTAATGGGTTGGTCTTCTATTGGGTGACATTGGCCTTAGTTTTGTATTTATTATTTGAAAACTGATCAGTGTTTATATTTTCACACTAATCAATCAATCAAATGTATTTTATATCAGCAGTACTTTACAGATACCCAGCCTAAACCCCAAAAGAGTAACTGATCAGTGTTCTATTTAAACACTGATCAGGGTTTATTGGTCAATGCAGAGGTTTTCCTCTGGTCAATTGACCTGCAGTCTGCGTTGTTTAGTGTTGCTCCAAATCCATTTAAATCAGTTGCATTGCAATGCACATTAAAATACCTATTAGAAGTTCAGGTGTTGATTATGTTAGAGCACCCTTGGTCCTCCTAGGTGTAGAAACCCAATCTAGAATTAGGTCAGAGGGCGTGTGGTATATGGCCAATATACCACAGCTAAGGGCTGTTCTTGTGCACGACGCAACTTGGAGTGCCTGGATACAGCCCTTAGCCGTGGTATATTGGCCATATACCACAAACCCCTGAGGTGCCTTATTGCTATTATAAACTGGTTACCAATGTAATTAGAGCAGTAAAAATTAATGTTTTGTCATTGCTGTGGTATATGGTCTGATATACCACGGCTGTCATCCAATCAGCATTTAGGGCTTGAACCACCCAGTTTATAATTTTGTGTAGTACACAGAAGAAACCACTGACATTGGTGAAAGGGTTTTCCACATTTGGCTTGATAAATTGTGATGAATGCTCGGGTGTGCATGAATTCTCATTGATTTAACAGTACACCGGTAACGACAGCTGTGTATATAATTTAAATGGATACCATTTATGTATGAGTAGACTCAAGCTTCCATTCCACCGTGAATTATTGGTGTGATTCCGATCATTAGAACTTCTAAACATGTTATATGACTATAGGAAGTTGTCCCTTAAACACTCGGAGGGTGACACAATGTAACCGACACTTTGGAAGGTAATGGCTGGCTATATATAGCTCCTTTGTGACACCATGTTTGACTCAATGGAGATTGACTGTTTCTCATTACTGTCCACATAGAGCACAATCTTTTGAGGGCCTCACTGGAAGTGTTGAGGGTTGAAGCATCCTGTTATTATAAGAGGAAGTGTTGAGGGTTGAAGCATCCTGTTATTATAAGAGGAAGTGTTGAGGGTTGAAGCATCCTGTTATTATAAGAGGAAGTGTTGAGGGTTGAAGCATCCTGTTATTATAAGAGGAAGTTTTGTCGGTGTTGAAGTGTTCAAGCAATGCCTCCATGAACAGAATGAGTTAACACTACAAATGTATTTTGTAGAGTTAATTTTTGTTGTTGTATTACTCTCAAAGTATATTGGATTTATATTGTCAAGCGCGTTAATTTTTTTTTTTTGTGTTCACTTTATTTAAACGCAGTAGGTTCCTTTTGAGACGAGTGCCAGTTGACAAGATTAATGGCTGGAAATCGTACTACTTCTAATCCCGAAGGGGATTACCTTTATTCCCTTAATACGCCTTCTTGCCCACTGCAGACAGACTGCACCATTCATCCCCCCCCCCCCCCCCTCTTTTGTTCTACCTTCTCCTGGCCGACCATATCTCTTTATAATATAAAAACATGCTCATTTGAGAGTCTGGTTGTGTTTCCAGAAATTGTCTCTCAGTGTGACCGAGACGCCCACATAGCATCCTGGCATCTCCCCCTCAGCCCACTGTGACAGAGCAGGGAGAGTTGGACTGGGGACGGCACCAGGGTAGACTGGATGGATGGATGAGAATGATTATTATCCAAGGCCTTTTTCTTTTTTTAATGCTGAGGTGTACCACATCTGAAGCAGTGTGTAATTAGGCCAGTGTTTGGGAAGCATAGATGATCTTCCTCCTGCTTTGGTCTTCTCTCTCTTCATCATCATCACCTCAGTAGGAGAAAGTCCTTTCCTGGGTTCACCAGAGGTGCTAATGTTGATCAGAGGCGGAGGATGCTTGATGATGACCATTATCGTAAATTAGGTTTATTGGCCGTTTAGCAATATTACACTCTTAGAAATAAAGAAGTTATAAAAATGTATTATTATTTATAAAAAAGCAAAGAATTATGTTGCTGGTACACTAGACTATGAAGTACAGGCAAATTAAAACAATGTATGATGTTTGACTTCATTCACAGGATCATTATATGTACTGGAATGCTTCTGTATTCTTTTTTTTTTTTTTTTTTTTTTTTTTTACCCTTCACTTGAGTCATCATTACCCTCTCATCTAATTAAAACGTGTGTTTAGAGATCTCAATTCCCCTTTGACTGTCCCAATGATGAATGGGAACTGTAGTTCTGCTGTAACTGGAGCTATGGCTAATTTGACAACATATAATAATTCTGAGTGAAATCAGTTCTGTTTTATTGCAAAACTCAAATGTTTTATTAGCCCCTATAAGGGGAAGTGAACCAAATTGGCGAGTGAACGACTTGCTTTTGACTTCTACTTTGATACAGGCACTTACTCCAATGGTTTTCTTTCAAACCGTTAAATTTCTTTCAGGCCCCTAATGCTAATTTAAAGCCGCGGACGGGACACTGCATTGGGAAGGGAAAGGGCGATACCTAGTCAGTCAACTGACTGTTTGGATTACAGTGGTTTTAGATACTGCATCACACTAATCTGCAAGAGGGAGGGAGAGAGGTGGAGGGATGTGTGTGTGTGTGTGTATATGTTGCGTGATTTGGCAGGGGTGATGTGGGAGGGAGAGGGGAAGGTGAGTCACACTGCCCGCAAAACTGAAATGTCATGGCTCTGGCAGCCTTGAAACTGCAGTGTTTGTGTGTGTGTATATATGCGTGTCTGTGAGGGAGAGAGGGCTGGAGAAAATGCGGTACATTAGCGGCTGTAGTGTTGGGATAATTGATTTAAGGGGTGAGTGTGAGTGCCTGGATTGTGCAGATGTGGAGCGAGCGGGTGGCGGTTAGAAACGGTAGCCTGCCGGTGGCTGCAGCCCTCCCTGCTCTCCAGCCAGCCCTCCCTGCTCTCCAGCCAGCCCTCCTTGCCCTCCATCCCTACTCTCCAGCCCTCCATCCCTGCTCTCCAGCCAGCCCTCCCTGCTCTCCAGCCAGCCCTCCCTGCTCTCCAGCCAGCCCTCCCTGCTCTCCAGCCAGCCCTCCCTGCTCTCCAGCCAGCCCTCCCTGCTCTCCAGCCAGCCCTCCCTGCTCTCCAGCCAGCCCTCCCTGCTCTCCCTCCAGCCAGCCCTCCCTGCTCTCCAGCCAGCCCTCCCTGCTCTCCAGCCAGCCCTCCCTGCTCTCCCTCCAGCCAGCCCTCCCTGCTCTCCCTCCAGCCAGCCCTCCCTGCTCTCCCTCCATCCAGCCCTCCCTGCTCTCCAGCCAGCCCTCCCTGCTTTCCAGCCCTCCCTCCCTGCTTTCCAGCCAGCCAGCCCTCCATCCCTGCTCTCCAGCCCTCCTCCAGCCCTCATACCCTGCTCTCCAGCCAGCCCTCCAGCCCTGCTCTCCAGCCAGCTCTCCAGCCCTGCTCTCCAGCCAGCCAGCCCTCCCAGCCATGCTCTCCAGCCAAGCCAGCCCTCCATCCCTGCTCTCCAGCCAGCCAGCCCTCCATCCTGCTCTCCAGCCAGCCAGCCCTCCATCCCTGCTCTCCAGCCAGCCAGCCCTCCATCCCTGCTCTCCAGCCAGCCAGCCCTCCATCCCTGCTCTCCAGCCAGCCAGCCCTCCATCCTGCTCTCCAGCCAGCCAGCCCTCCATCCCTGCTCTCCAGCCAGCCAGCCCTCCATCCCTGCTCTCCAGCCAGCCAGCCCTCCATCCCATGCTCTCCAGCCAGCCAGCCCTCCATCCCTGCTCTCCAGCCAGCCAGCCCTCCATCCTGCTCTCCAGCCAGCCAGCCCTCCATCCCTGCTCTCCAGCCAGCCAGCCCTCCATCCCTGCTCTCCAGCCAGCCAGCCCTCCATCCCTGCTCTCCAGCCATGCCAGCCCTCCATCCCTGCTCTCCAGCCAGCCAGCCCTCCATCCTGCTCTCCAGCCAGCCAGCCCTCCATCCCTGCTCTCCAGCCCTCCATCCCTGCTCTCCAGCCAGCCCTCACTGCTCTCCAGCCAGCCCTCCCTGCTCTCCAGCCAGCCCTCCCTGCTTGCCGTCCTTCGGTGACGAGGCAAGCAGGTTAGTCAACTCTGGGGAATCACCAGAAGGAGGCATTTTAAAAGGGGAATTACACAAGCAGGGGATTATGCTGCTGCTGCTGCTACTGCTACCACATAATGGAACATGACCTTGCTTCCGCTTTCTCTTCAGCATGCCAACAGGAAGAACTATACAGGGCCCTGTTCATTTGGCACCAAATGGATGAAAGTGGACTGAAACGGGTCCAACAGGAAATGGCCATTTCTGTTTTCCATTGCAAAACGTTTTAAAACGTTGCAGGCCCTAAATGAACAGAACCCAGTGGAATGGGTGAGCGACTGGACTAGACTGCATGCGGCACCTTCTCTCACTCAGATCTATATGGTCCAACGCCACCTTCTCTCACTCAGATCTATATGGTCCAACGCCACCTTCTCTCACTCATATCTATATGGTCCAACGCCCACATCAGACCTATACTAGGCTGCATGCAGCACCTTCTCTCACTCAGATCTATATGGTCCAACACCCACATCAGACTTGTATTTATTCATGTACTTGAATTCAAGTCCCCTTCTCTCTCACCATTGAGAGGTTCGACTCAACACTTTGTATATTATTCATGAGTTTATGGTTTTTACTTCAATTAGCTGTTTCGAGTAATTCAGTCCATGCATTAAATTGGCCACTAAGTGCATTCTGAATAGGCCCCACCGCTATAAGCTTTTGTTGCATGGCCATGGCGTGGTCCTTTAGGGGGAGTTGTGTTTTACCTATTGCCCGTTACACAGCTGAATGCTTACATTCCACAGCGGTACCCCCTTTAGGTTATTGAAGCAGCAATCTTCTGGTCCAACAAGTCTGCTTCC